CTACAACTTTACTTAGAACATCAACAAACATTTACTTGAACTCGAACCGAACTTTTTGTCAGGTTCGAGTCTGGTTCAAAATTCGAACCGAACTCGAACCAGACTTTTAATTAGGTTCGAATTTTCGAACCGGACTTTTCGTCAGGTTCGAGTCTGGTTCAAGCTCGAACCGAACCAGACTCGAACTGAACCAGACTTTTTTTCGGAACCCTAATCACAAGACAAGTGACCAAGTGAGCAAACAAGCGAGCAAACAAGTGAACAAGCAAGCAAACAAGCAAACAAGCGAGCAAGCAAGCGAGTGAATAAGCAATTTTCTTGTGAATATTATTGTTAACAATTTTATATAAAAGAAGCATGTATTTTAGCTTAAAAAAATTAGTCAATAAGTCAGTTAATTAATCAATCAATTAGTTGATCAGTCAAGTTCTAAATAGTATTGACTCAAAAATAAACTCCTTTGATAATAATACCCTTTTGAAATTAACACATTTAGAATGTTTAAATATTTCTTTTATTATTTCATTATTTAAATTTTAAAGTTTTATTTAGTTTTGTTATAACCTTTCACATATTTGCGATGTTATATTTATAATTTCTTACATGTTTATAATGTTATGTTGATAATCTCTTACACATTTGTAATATCATACTTATAGTTTGATCTCTCACACGTTTGTGATGTCATATTGTTGAAATGATTTAATAAATTGAATTTATAATATACTGAAAAGATTAAAAATTGTTCAAGAAGATCACTATAAAAGAAAACAAATTATATTATAGATTATTTAATATTAACAATCAGAAAAATACATATAAGAAATGGTAAATCTTTTACAATTGCTAATAATCACAGTTTTTTTCCAAATGAGAACCAAGAACAAATATTACATTTATTACCTAACAATCACTCCAAATTAAATGAAGTAAAAAAATGATTTTTAGGAATTATAAAGTAAATTTCAACTTTGACTGTATATGAAAAATGATGAAACAAAATCTGAAAATAAAATACTTAAATATTTTGAATCCTTTTTTTTATTGTTTTGGTTATTGTTTTCTGATTGGTTGTTCTGTTTCAGTTTTGATTTTGACAACTATTTTTCAGCGAATGGCTGATGATTTGTTGGTATTTCTATGTTACGTATGCTTTTTAGTTAATATATTTTTATTGTAATTTGGAATATTAGTACGTGCCTAAAATACTAGCAATTTTGCAATTCTGCACCTAATGTTGAATAAAAATGAAATTATATACATCACCATCGTTATAAAATATATTTTAATAATCGACATGGTCACATTAAACTTTTGCACAATTACGTGACTAAGTCTTTGAAAAAAAAAGCTTACAAACTACAGTCAATAATCGCCTCTCGTCAAGTGATGTTATATTGTTTTCGAATTTCTTTTTAAATATTTACACTGTGTTTCGAAGTACTAAGATCAGAAATATTAATTAATAAATTATTTATAATAGAAAATAAATTATTTAATTTAATAATTACTTACCAAGAATCACGGAATCCCCACGTAAAAACATCTTACTGATGAATCGATCCTTGTTAACCGGCTTCGCTTTCTTACCTTTATTAGTTTTTGGTGTTTCCGTCCACATCTATGATAAAAGGATCAATTTTATTATAAACAAAAATTATAAAATAATGCAAAGATTAATTGAGAAAAATACCTCTTTAACATTCTCCAAAACCATGTTACAGTGTCTATCAAAAGCCTTAACACGCGCAAGTAATTTTCTATTGTTCCGGCAATTAATCAAGATTTGTGTATTATTCTTAACTGACTGTTGTAATACTGATAAAGGGCCAGTATTGAACTCAAGCTCCTCAAGCTGCTTAAGCTCTTCTTCGGTCATTTCAGATTTTGACTTTCCTGTTAGACTGCTATTGATTAAATAATGATAGATTGTTAAAAAACAAAATCAAGTAAAGCTTTATCAGGTTTTTTTTTCGATTTACCTCATTTTCACAGATTTTTATTCGAAATTTTGCTTAGGGATGGTCTAAAGAAACCTGAGTTTGGATCCTTTTTATTCATTTATTCGTTTATTTACTTTGATTAATATGATGTCATATTTTAAGCGCGTCTATCAAAAGTGTAGGGATTATCATCGCGTCATACTAATCTCTGCCTACTTTCACTGAAAATAATTCCACAATGAGCTTTGGTAATAATTCTAGAAATTCATTTCCCTTTCCCCAGAAAACTCAGCAGCAGCAACGACCACCACCCCAAATCCCATTTCAACAGCAAAATGTTTCGAGAAATCAAGCATTTTCTTCATGGCAGCAACAATCACAGCAACAACAATCAAATCAACAGCAAACATTCAGAAGTCAATATTCTTATTCGTCGCAGCCTCAACCAAAACAACAAATGAAAACAGATTCAGAAAATTATGCCAAGCAGGAAACAAATTATAATCCTTCTCCAGCACTTTCACGACAGCCTTCTCGTTTATATACAAGCCAGGAAACAGTGCCACCCATTTCTTATGCAACAATGAATACATACTTGGGTTCTACAGTTCGTGTTGTTGGAAGAGTGCTGGAGGTAATTTTATATACTGTGCACGCACTTGCTATATAGTATTTAGGATTCTTGATACTGAATGTGATTATTAAGGTTGAATCAGGAACGGCAAAATTACAAATGTGCGATGGAGGAGAATTAGTTATCAAGATCATAGTAAGAAGAAAACAGTTAAAATTGATTATTTTATCTTATTATTTTACTAATTAAAAATGCTCCAATTCAGAATCCGCAATATTACCAATGTAAATTTGTAGAGGTCACCGGACGTCTCAATCGCGACAACACCCTTCAAGAATATACAGCAATCCAGTTTAACGATGACTTTGGTAAATATATTTTTTCTAAATCTTAATCTTTGCAAATTTCAAAATCAAAATCTCTTATTAATCTATTCAATTAGATTTGGACGTTTATAATAATGAACTGGAGATTTCAAGAAAATTTCCCAGCATATTTCATGAGTCTGATACAAAGGATATTAAAGGGTTCTAATCTTTATAATTCCCGCTACTTATTCACCATGATGTCATCAATATTAGGATATAAATTTGAATTATAGTCTTTTTCACAATCTTACTGTGGGATGTTATATTGAAAGTGACAGTGTTTTAGATAAGCATCGATTTCCTAATGTAGGCAGCTAATGAAATATTTAATTTGAATGAAATAGCAATATAATAAAATACATATTAAAGATATCTCATTATCGAGATATTATAGGTTTTATAATAAAAATAAAAATTGTAATAAAGATAATAAAGGATTCATATTAATATTACTAATAATAAAAGTGATTGATTAAAAAAGCTCTGCGCTAAATTTCATATTTATACAGTACTTTTTTTAAATTTTATACAGATTGCATGCATATTCGAACCTTTTTTTTGAATAATAAATACAATTAATAAACATCTATGTGATAAACAAACAAACGAATGAATGAATAATAAATGAATAAATAATAAATGAAAAAAATTAATAATAATAAGGAATAATGAGTAACAGTAATACAATTCTCCACTGCAAAAGATTGTCTATACTCATTCTACAGAGTCCGATCTGCCATTATTTCCACTTTCTTCGGGAGCAACAATAGTGGTTGCTATACTAGTAGCTTCAGAAAGTAGTGAACTTCTTCGACCATCGGCCAAATTTAATGAAAAAACCTCAGAACAATCACTTGTAGGATCATTTGTCACAACTAAAATATTGCCTCGATCATCAGAACATAAACAACGTAAATTGTGACCTTTAATTATTTGTTCCAATAAACCTGTTTCCACATTTCGAATTTCGATAAATGATGGTTCAAAAGCTAATAGATAGGGATCTCGAAAAGCTATCAAAAGATAAAAGAAAGTGTTAAATAAACGTTAATTATTAATTATTTGATATTTTTTTATATTTACCAAAAAAAGTTGGTGCGCCTTCCCAGGTAACATGCCAGTCATGTCGAGCACGCCATCCCACTTTATTTACATAAAAAGCAAATTCTAAAATTATAGTAGTTTGAAATCATAAAAATTATATATATATAAAAAAGCAACAAAAAGAAATAATCTTGAAAAAAATATGCTTACCATCGTAACATAACAAGCGATCACCACGACTATTAGGAGTTCTAAATAACGCAATTGGTTTGATATTTTCTCTCTTTTGAACAAAATCAAGAGTAGCATCAGCAGGATCTAATAGAGCTTGGGTTGCAAGTGTTTCCATATTTATAATCTCAAATCCTTTTGTACATCCCACACACAGAGTCTTTTTCAAAAAATGGATTGATGTTGATTCACGGGGTATATAGAAGTTCTATAAAAATTATTTAATTTGATATATCAATTACGGATATAACACTAACTAAAGAGCATCAGATGAATCTAAAAAATATGCACCTTATGTAATTTAAGCGCTTCAGCTCCACGCAAAAGATTTTTTAATATGGGACCTTTTATTTTACTCTTGATGCTTTGTTCAATTGGTTCAAATGTCCTTATAATTGATTGCGCCAAACCGTAAGTTCTAACCACTGCTACTAATGTTTTATCTAAGCATACTCCACATTTGAAGAAACTTGCATTCGAAGTGATCTTACGCGGTTTCTTATTAGAATTATTTGCATCTCCAGGGTCCAAAGCTTCAACTGGAAGCCAATAGAATATTTTATCTATTCATAAGGAAATATCACATGTAAAAATTTTGATCAGACCATAATATAATAATAAAATGCATCTTATAATGTTATCTACTTGAGGAAAACTTTACCAGCCAAAATTAAAAGTAATCGAAACTCTTCTAGTACCGCAATTTGAGATACTTTTTCTAAATGCAAAACCTGAATAGGCTGTTTTGGATTTTGTCCAATATCTGCAACATAAACACCTTCCTCTGTACCAAGTGCCAATTTTTGATAATCATCTATCAAAAATCAAGCAATAAGTTAATTAAAAAAGTTCAAGATTAAAATGTAAAAATATAGAAAATAACTTACCAAAAAAAGCAACGCAATTGACTTTGTTTGTGCCAACGAAATATTTTCCCTCTAACAAAGTGGCTTTCTCAAAAACTTGACCTCGATCAAGCAAAAACTGTTGTTGCTTTTCAATATGTTCTATCCACTTATTACGGCTTATGACGGTAGACGCATATAATGTAACTGAAAATCCTTTCTTCCCTATGCAGGTAAAGTTCAATGCATATTGTTTATCACGAATATTGTTTACGACAGCGGGAGGAAGGATCGAAGGCGGTCGTTTGGGAATTTTTTGAATATTTTCAATGAGATTTTCAGTTATTGATGTAGTTAGCAATTCTAGAGGAATCGGCTGCCAGAAAAGAAATTATACATAATAAATAAATATTGATAAAACAATAAGGATGTTTATTTATAAATGAATTACCTTCCGATAGATTTTATATTGCTCTGTTTTTTTTGCTTTTACCATTAGTAAAACATGATCGAATAAGAAAACTTGAAGATCGGATGATTCTCCACCAGATCTTTTCTTCATTGTGCCTTTATATATAAGTTGTCTTCCGGGTTCAGTTAATTTCAACCCCTAGAGCATATAGTAAATTATATATTAACTATTCCTAATAAAAACACAAACTAATAATATTTATCCAAGTAATTACCGCATGATATTCGCTTGTTTTTAATTGGTTATCTAATTGTTGCAAATTGAATCGATTTTCAGATTTCCCTGATTCAATATTAACACTCGTTAATATTTCTCTAATGATTCTTATGACTTTAGTAAGATTAGTTTGATCAGGATGTTCTGAGGGTGTTTGCTTAAGCACTGCCTCAAGTAATAGAGGATATCGTCCAAGACGTGTAGTTGGTTTAGTAAGATATCCATTTAACTCTAGTTTTCGAGATTCTGGACGACGTTCAGTATCCTAACACAAAATATATAAAAGAATAAATTAGTGAGTTTTAAATATCTTGATATTTGATTGACTAATTTATTGATTTTTACCTCAACAAATTTCGCAAATGCTTGATTATCATTCTTCTCCCTTTCAAACTCGTATTTACCTAACAGTTGATGGGCGCCATATTCAATGAAAGGTTCATCAAATTTAGGTACAAATTCTAGGAATATATCCCCAATTTGGTCCACGATTGCATATGAATTTTGCCGTTTTTGCAGTGCATCAGCAAGTTTCGAGTTTACTTTGTGAATATCTTCGATATTATAAAATACTTGATTGACAAATTCTTCGCGCCTCTCTTCAGGAATAGCATTATGATAAAGAAGTGGATCTATCCATATCTTTAAAATTTTTATATTAATATTCATTTATAGTTCTTTTTAAAATAAAAATCATTAAACCAATTACTAGCATACATCTCTTAGATATTCTAAATCACGAACAAAGTCCTTTTCGGTGTAAATAACTTCATTAATCGCTTCTTGCCGTTTTTTTTCTGTTTCTGATACTGAATTAGCAATATCCGGAGAAACTGAATGAACCCACAATTTATGATCCTATAAGAATTAACGTAGAAGATAAGTATTCCCAAATTCCAATTTACATTAGTACAATAATCAAACAACAAAACATAAATATGCTGATTATGATTATGATTATGATTATAACTTATATAGTAGCTCTGAACGCATCAGAAAGGAAATCGAGTGTTAATTGGTCAAAAGCGATCAACACAATTAATTAATAAAATAAGTATTTCTTCATTTCATTTTACAAAGTAATTTTGGAAAAACATTTTCTCTGTTTATCACTCTTTGACCAATTACTTATCTCGAATTTGGCAAGCGACAGCCATACAATTAAAAGGAAACATATAAGTTATGATCATAAGTAAAAAAAAAGTATTACTTTTCTATTTGATAAAGAGCCTCGACTGGGAGAACGCTCCAAATCTGGTTTTGCCTTTGTTATTCGAGCCTGCTAAAAAAATAAATGTTAAAAAACTTTACATTAGAAATTTATGGTAAAAAAATAATTATATTCTAGAATATTTACCTGTTCTAATCTTCGCGGACATGTTATGCTATAGCAGACACTATCTCTTGTACAAGTGGGTGAGTAACAATCGGTTAGAAGTGTGAATACCCCATTAGGCAGATCATTGTCTTCTACAAAATCTTCCTTCTCTTGTTGTTCCGCCGTGGTTTCATAATCATCTGAAGATGCCAAAAATGAAGGCATCTTCTGAAATTGGTATAACTCATTATAAGAGTCCAGTAGACGATGATCATATGTTACGTCATGAAAAAATTTCTGTGCATCTAAAGCCCGTCCGAGTAATAATGCCAAATTTCTATCAGTTGTTTTAATAATATATGCAATAATGTCCTAATGTAAAATTAACAATAGATCCTTTCAGTAAGCTTTTTTTTATCAGTTAATATTCCATAATCAAAATAATATACATACGACTGCTTCTCTTCCATCAAAACTTCCTTTATATTCAAGGTCATCTTTTTTTTTAGTTGAAAGTGTAATATTTTTTTGAAATGCTTCAGCAACCCGTGATAATAAGGCGGCATAGACAATTGGAGCACGTTGCTTAGCTAGATTAGTTGATGGAGATGGAGGATTCGATATATCTGAAATTAATGGTGAAGCATCCGAATACGAGAAAGATCGTTGTCGTTCGGAACTTTTTTTCACATAATTATGTTTGGATTTTTCGCGAACACTGTCTGTTGATCGCCTAATATGTATCGGATTTTTCTCGGAATTTTTCGGTATAATTAGATTTGATGTCGCTATATAATGTACAATTGAAAGAACAAATATAAATGAGTCAGTCAATTCCCCTGATTTGTCAACCCTAAATAGAAATAAATCAGCATAGTAGCAATTCTGATAGACCATAAAATCATGAAACTCGCGTGCCTGAAATGGATTTGGTTCGTGGAAGTGGTGCCTCAGTTATGAGTGGTTGAGGAGATCTCCTTCCACTTGACAATGTAGAGTTTGACGTCAAAGAAAGTGTGCGTTGTCCAGCGGAAGAAAATCGCTCAGCAGGTTGGACTGCGATCACCGGTGCAAGTTCGTAATACCTTTGATAAGCGTAGGAAGATTGTCGCAACTGTGAAGATGTTGAAATTTGCTGCGAAGAATGTGAAAATCCATTATATTGAGGAAGTGTTTGCTCTTGAAACTCTGTATAATCCGTTGCATGCTCTGTATAATTAACATTTTGTGGGGGATGTGCATGTTGTGCGAGAGTTTGATATTGTTGATATTGAGATTGTGAGAGATGAGAATGCTGGGTATTGTTGAATTGTGAATGACGAGGAGATTCCATTTGTTCTGGACATTGTGATGGTGAAAGAGGATGTTGCAAGAGGGAACTTCGAGCTCTGGGACGACTTGTAGGGGAAGAGGAGGTTCTATATGTTTCGTACCCATATTCATGAGTGTAATTGTTGTTACACATTGCTTCTGGGTAAGAGGGTATTGGTTTGCCGTTATATGAGCGAGATACGTCTTTTTCTGTTTCGTAAGAAACCATATTCTGCATTTTAGTCTTGATGGTGTCCTCGGATTTTGCGACAGATAGTTATTAGTTGGCTTGAAAGATATGAATACAACAGCCAAATAAAAAGTTCTTGTGGCATGTTGGCGACGTTAACTCTATCAACCAACTATGCGCTAGTTATGATGATAATGAGTGTCACCACCTAATCAACTACCCCCGGAAAATTTTGCGTAATGTCATGTGATTTTGGACCGGGGACCGGAGAAATTTAAACCCACAAAAATTCACGCTCACGTGATCATGGAAAATTAACAGACTATTTTATCGTTTGAATTAGAGCCGAGTATAAGTAAAACTGCCTTTTTGATAGTGCTTAAGGTTAGATTTTGATGTGTTTTCCGTATTTTTTTTCATATTTTTCGCTTTTTTCATTTTCTCGTGTCGAATTTATTTTTTGGGTTAATCAAAAATTTACACATTCTTATTGGTTTGCGCCATCCAATAGAAACATTACCAGAATGAGATAATGTCATAATTGTATTTTATTATAATTAATTATAATTTATACAAATGTAATCAATGGAATTTTAGATATAAATACAGCTGGTTTGATAATTGTAGAAAAACAAGTTGTAACAATTAGTCCAACTAATGACTTAATAAAATACTTTATTAATATTTTGATTTTATACTTGCAAGCTTAATATTAAATACTCATATTATTATTTTATTATTGTTATACTATAAAATTATTCTTATCAATAAACACTTTGTAAAAATATTATTAAAATTATACTTATTAATAAACACTTTGTAAAAATATTATTAAAATTATATTTATTATTATATTTAAAAAGATTTATATCTTTAATTTAATAAAAAGATCAAAATTATTATATACAAATTATATTTATTTAAACATTTTTATTGAATTATTGTTTGCTAGCTTATAATTTATATTATAACTAAAATTATTTATTTTAAATATTCAGAAAATCTTATTAATTAATTATATATTAAAAGTAAAAAAATTCATTAACATCAATATTAATACTAATACTAAATAAATAATTAATTATTTTAATATTAGTTTAAAATCAAATATCCAATAAATTATATATTAATAACTTATTAGATTAGTATATAAGTGTAACTCAAATAATTTTCTTCATTATAAATAAAATACTGGAATTATATAAATATATTCAAAATTATTAAATATAAAAAAAATATTTGAAAATAGAAAGCATAATTAAAAAAAATTTTGCTATTGATACAGAAATTATTTATTTAACTATATCTTTTATAATAAAAAAATAAAGAATTTTTTTAATAATCTAATTAATCAAAGAAAAAAGATTTTAACTATTTTTCTATAAATTTATCCTATATTTTGAATAAATAAATAAAATATATTTAAATAAATATATTATTTAAATTAAATAATATTTATTATATTATAGAACTTAACTTAATAAAAAAAGTTTATTTATTATATTATTATTATTCTAAAATGATATAAAAATATGTGAAAGAAAATTTATAATGTTATAATAAATTATTTAATCAAAATAATTATAATAATATATATTAATAATAATAAATAAAAATTATAGATAATATAGTTAATATATAATATTTTAAGTATTATATTATAATTATAATGAGTCTAGAATAATAACTAGTAATTCGAGCTAAAGTATTTAACACCAAATAATCTGCAAAAAAATTTCTAAATTAGAATTAATATTTAGAATACTTTAAAATGTATATGATTATTCAAAGTCTGAAATATTTAGAACTTTGAAAAGTATTTTAGTCTGAATTATTAGTAATAACAATATTTTTATGATATAATTTACTAAAATATAATCTGAAATTTATATTAAGAGTGTTTATTAAGAAATATTATATAATAAATATATAGTTAATAGTTTGAATTAAAATATTTTTCAAAGTTCTAAATATTTTAAACTTTGAATTATTAAAGTATTTTAAGTATTTTAAATATTCTAAATTCTAATTTAGAAATTTTTTGCAAATTATTTGATGCTAAATATTTTAGCCCAAATTATTATATGTAATTTTATTATAAGTTTATAATATAATAATAAATATATATAATTTTATTAATAAATGAATTTATTATTAATTTATTATATGTTTTTAATTATTATTTATTATTTTTGAGATTCTAAAAACTATAAAATTTATTATTTTATTAGCTAAGATTTATAAGTAATTAATAAATAAGAAATAATCATTTGAAATGATTACTTAAAATAATCATTTGAAATAATTATTTAAAGTGATTACTTGAAATAATTACTTAAAATAATTATTTATAATAATTATCTTTGTAAAATATCAAATTATAACAATAAAATAAACTAATAAAATATAATAAAATATTATTCAATTAAATTTATAATATGAATTAATCAATAAAATAAGAACGAAATATTTATATTATAATAATACTAAAAATAACTTTATTAGTAAAAAATCAAGTTTTTATTCTTTAAACTAGTTATTTACAAATTTGTTCTGAATTTAAAAATAAATTCTAAAACTAATAATATAATTTAAAAAAATAATTAAAATTAGTTTAAGTTATATTTCTTCCAGATAATTAAGGAACTTATTTTTATCAGAATTTCAAATAATTTAAAAAATAATAATAAAAAATTCTTTTATATAAAAAAATTTTTTTTAATAATAAAATTAAAAAATAAAAAATTTTACATAAAAAATTAAAAGAATCTTTTTCTTTTTTCTTTTATTTTATAAAAAAATCTATTTTTAAAGCTTTGCAAACTAAAAAGAATCTTTAATATAAACAAGAAAATTTTAAATAGAATTTTTTTATTTTTATTTTACTAAATTCTAATTGCCAAAAAAAATTATTTCTTGTAAAAATATAAAAAACTAATAATAATATTAGTATTTTTAAACAAACTCAGCAAAAAATTATAACCTTGCTATTAATTAAAAATTTTTTTATATAAAAATTATTATAAAAATATTCAATAATAGAAAATAAATAATACTTTTTTAGAAATAAAATAATAAAAAATATAAAAAAATACAAAAATAATTTATTTAGAAATAAATTTATTGATAATTAAATTATTTATTAAAACAAAAATATTTATAAAAAATAAAATTAAATTAATAAAAATAAAATTAATATCAAAAATAAAACAAAGATAAAAAATATAAGATAAAATTCACTATAAAACTAAAATTAAAAACAAATTAATAAATTGAATAATTATAATAATAAATAGTAATAAAATAAAAAAGTGCAAATAAAAATATTATTATTATTATTATTATTAAAAAAACAAAAAAAATACATAACTCATTTTAAGAAAAATTAATAATAAAAAAATAAATAAAAATTTATTTTTAATAAAGAATAGTAATAGTAAATATAATATTAATTATAATAGTAAGTTTAATACAAAAATATAAAGCAAAAATAAAACTTTTTAGTTATAATTATAAAATTTTTTTGACTTGTTTTAATTTAATTATTTGTATTAATAAAATTTTTATTTTGTTTATATATAAGAAAATTATATAATTATATTAATTATAATTTAAATATTATATATATTTAATAAAAAAAATTAAAATTTTAAAAGTAAAAAAATTTTTATTAATAATTAATTAATATATTTATATTTTTATATTAGATCATATTAATTATTATTTGAAAATAAAAAAATATTAATAATATTATTAAATACCAATTAAAAATAAAAATTACTAATTAAATTAAATTAATAAATTACAAATAAAATTACTAAACTTATAAAATTTAATATAATTATAAATTTATATAAATATTAGTTTATATTATAATAATACTAACTTTATAAATTTAAAAGTTTATAAATTAATAAAAGAATTTTATAATTTAAATTTTTTATATTATAATTAAAATATTTAATATATTTATATTAATTAATTATTTGTTATTTCTTTATTTCGAAATTTTCTTTTATATATATTTATTATATTATTTAATTAATTATTATATTAATTATTATAAAATTTGAATCAAATTTTTAATTAAAATAAATAAAATCTTACTATATTTTTTTAAAGTTCTTTTATTTTATTATAAATATTTCTTTTATATATTAAAAATTTCAAAAATAATACTAAATGTTTAAATAACTTCAAAAATAATACTAAATATTTAAATTTTTCAAAAAAATACTTATTATTTATTTATTTATTAATTTATTATTTAAAATATTCTTTATTATTATTAAAAATTTCTAAATATTATTTAATAATTAAGTTAAATTTTTTAATAAAATTAAGATATAGTATTTAATAAAAGTAAAATTAATTATTAATTAAATTAAATTAAATTAAATTAAATTAAAATATAATTAATATTACTAATTTTGAATTATAATAATTAATAATTTATATATATTTATAATAAAGAAATTAATAAATAATAAAACTTGTTAATAAAAAATATATTTTTATAATTAATAAAAATAATAATAAATATACTTTTAAAATACTGTTATATAATGAAATTTCACATTAATTATTTGTCAAAATTATTATTTAATCTTATTGAATAATTTTGAGAACACATGTTTATATTTAATTAGTTAAGATCTTCTTATTTACATTTTGTATTACATTATTATTTGT